TCAACCATTTATAGCACCTAGCGCCATCTTTTGCAAACGGACCGAATTAAGTTGTACACCCAATAGTAAAGTAATTGGACCAAATTAATAATCCTCAACTAGCCTTCTTTCCGACCATAAGACTTTTTAGTTGTCATAGAGGAACACGGTCGAGGACCCGGAGTCAACGTTTTCCGACGATAGATGAAAGTAAGGTTTCCACGCCAAACTTTTCAAAAATTTCCTTGCCGTCAATTAGTTGACCTTGTAATGTTTGACTTGTTTTAAGAAATGCATATGCAAATTTGCCTAGAAGATGCTAAACACATTTGGAATCATTATAATGGTGACAAGTCTGTTAGGCATCTTCAAGGCAAATATCAAATATATAATATATACTAAAATTACCACGATGCAAAAACAATTTCGTTGTTCTCAGTGATCGCGGTATTATTAAGTTAATGCATATTCTCAAAACTAAGTGCCTTAAGAATAGGTTGTATTACAGCAAATTGCGCGTTCTCCGTACTACCTTTCGAATATACGCACAACAATTTATTTCTCAATTTTTTTACAGTGCATGGGTGATAATTACAATTAACGAGAAAATACAGTCATACAATCACAACAACAACGACTTATAATACTTATTCATTGTCACTATAAACTAGAAGATTAGAAAATGCTCTTGAAAGTTGATTCAAATAATTCTCAGATAAGGTCAAATGATACCTTGTATCCTTTAATTACAACTTTCCATTGATGAAAGTATGAACATAAACCAGTATTCCGCCTGCAACCGCATGGAAAAAAATCTGGCAAATAGTTAGGTTGCAGATACCTTTAAATAAAAGATCAATGACATGGAGGTTCTACACGGCATTTAAGAAAGTTCGCGCATAGACGGTACTTTTTTGAAACAGGACACGTTGCGTAACACAGATCTGAATCTAAGCGGTAGGTGGCATATCCACTCCCGGAGGTGGTGGTTCCTCATTAGCAGCTGATTCCATCACTTCTTGCTTGATTTCCATTCGATCCCTATCACGGTCCTCGCGATCTCTATCCCTGTCTCTATCTTTTTCTCGATCCTTGTCACGGTCACGTTCCTCACGCTCTTCTTTTTCACCGCGATCCTCGCGTCTGGATCTTTTCTCACGTCGGTCATCACTACGCCTTTCGCGACGCTCATCGTCATCTTTTTCATGCCGTCTTAAATCAATAGAGCGTCAAACAA